ACTATTAGAGTATTGTATTGAAGTGTATTGTATCCAATTCTAGGAACCGTAATTTAGAAAGGTAAGCTGGTCAGTGGCTAGAGGAGGAGGTCATCCAGGATGGTGAAGGGCTCCTAGACCTTGTCTTATGAAAATCAGTTGTTGAAGGAACCTGAGTATTTAGCCTAGAGAAAGAAGACTGGGGGGAAGGTGGGGGTGTGGACAGAGAGGTGGAAAGTGTATTTGTCCTCAGGTATTTTAAAAGTTTTATGTGGATGAGACATTAAATTTGTTTTGCTTGGTACTAGAGGGCAAAACTTGGGAGGATGGATATATTTAAGCTTCATGAAAGGAAAAACACCTTAACAGAGCTATCTGGAAGTAGAATGGGCCAATTCAGGGTATAGGTTCCCTCTTACTCAGAAGACTAGAGGACCAACTTGTTGGTTCTTGTTGGGTAATTCTAGATGGCCTCTGTGGTCCCTTTCAACTTCAAGATTCTTTAATTCTGTAAGTCATCATACTAAGCCAGAAACGTTGGTATTTTCCCCTTTTTGTAGCTGAGAAAGCTGAAGCTCAGAGGTTAGATTACTTGCATGAAAAGAATGCTGAGTTTGGAATCAGGAAAGAACCCACATCTGATACTATGTATGTGACCAGTCTCAGTCTCAGTTTCCTCATCTGTAAAAGGGCAATAATAATTCTATAGTATTTGTCTTTTAAACTGTGTGAGGATCAAATGAAATAATATACATAAAGCATTTTGTAAACCAACTATAGAAATGTAAGTTATATAGCTAGTGATTGTATGTTACTTATGTCCTCAGTGAAATGGTAAATACCTGCAGTGCAGGGCTGTCTCTTGTACTTTATCATAGATCCTACCTAGATAAAACCACAATACTATTCACAGTAGTATGCACTTAATGTGATTGCATATCGATCTATATTTCTATAAAATTTGCCGGTTCTTATACTTTGCTTTATTATCTCTATTTCTGAAGGATGTATCATGCATATCCTGTTAACTGCCTTTGCTTTATACTCTTCTCTTTCCAGCAATTGGTCCCTTATCCTCAGAAATGTGAAGAGGGATTAATGTAGTGATTTAGCACTTGTCAACTGATTTACTGTAATTCCTGTTTTATCTAAACTTTCTTATCTAAACTTTATCTCTCCAGGGCCTAGCACAGTTCTCTACACACTGTAAGTGGTTAATAAATGTATGTTGTTATTATTTTTTTTTGTAGTAATCTTATTTGCTTATTGTGACTTATCATTTGCATAGTATATGGATTATCTGTGGTCTGGGATAATCATTGTTTGTATTTACCTGATATTAGCCTAAATTCATTAACTCAAGAAGCATTTGTTGTACACCTACTTTGTGCAGAAAACTCTACTAGGTGCTGTGCAGGAGGCTCAAACAAAAGAAATAAATGAAATCTTTTCCTGAAAGAGCATAGAGTCTATCTGGGGGTGCTACATTGATACATTAAAATGACAAAAACAACTGGAAGCAGTATCTTCAAGTGTGACGTGGTAAAGGAGTGATAAAAATCAAATGAGATAAGTGAGGAAAGTCTGGTTTGGAGGGAATTATATGAATTAATAGAATGAAGAGAAGAAGAAATTCAGAGTTGACGTAAATACTTACAAAGAGTAAGGGTTAAAAAAAAGTTTTTACAGTTCTTAGTTTAAGATATTTTAATTCCTACGTAACAGCTTTTTCGACCTAGAACTATAAATGTGTATGAATTGAAAGGCTAATTTTTTAGGCAAGGAAAAAAAACTTGTGGAAGGAATTAAATATACAGTAAACTGCTTCTTACATTTTGAATTTGATTTCTTTTGCTGCCATCTAAAAGGAAAAGTAACTTTTGTTAGAATTGCTCACAAGTTATTTGTAATTGTGTTATTCTAATTTTATACCATAAATATATTTAAATAAGTGCTTAGCCTACTCAGCAGTTATATACAGCTTTTCAAATAATTTTCAATTTTGTTTTTATATTGAAATTCACTGTATAAAAAATACTTATTAAAGGTGGCAAAAACAAGTAGTATAGCATAGGTTTTACTGTTTTTAATTGAATATTGTATTATAAGGTTAATTTTAAACATCTATAAAACCAATCAGACATGTTTGCAACTATTTACATTTCATAATATTTATTTCAACATATTAATTGTTGAAAGCAATTAATTATTCCATATGTATCCCCTTCCATTTTTTCTAGTTTATGCATTCACTTCTATCCTTGTGTATACATTTTTCCTTTAATATGGTTGTTGGTGATGTTCTTCTGGTTCTTCATATTACTTTATGCATATCCGTATTTTTATTCCTCTTATTTATCTTACTGCCGTATAGTATTCAGTTACACTGATAAACCATAGTTCATAAAGCTCTTCCCACTTGTTGAACATTTAGGTTCCAGTTTTTCCTGATTAGTAATAACACTGCTGTTAATATCTTTGAACAGATTACACACATACACACATACCTTTTTTTTAAAATGATGATTAATAATGGATTTATTGAAGTACAGGGGGTATGATTATTTTTGTAACTCTGCCAAGTTGTCCTCCAAAAAGAGAGCACCAATTTGCAATTGTATTAGGGTACCTGTTTCTTCCAAATCCTGCCAGTCTTGAGTTTTATCACTCTTAATTATTTTTTGCAGTTTGATTGCAAAATAATACCTCACAGTTGTCTTGAACCCTTTTGAGAGATTAGTTATAATTTATTTATCCTTTTGTAAATTGTTTACATTTTAAAATATCCATTAGGGACATGTTGCTGCCTTTGAATATTTGTACTAGTTTCACACAAAATATATTTGCATTTTACCTTGATGAGCCATGCTAGCTTTTAGTAATTACTAGTTCCCCTTTCCACAAACAATATTTTAATGGGATGAAAGTCTGCAGCCTATAAATGTAAAGTATCCATCTTCTTACATCTTTGGGATATTACATTCCTATGTCCTTTTCATCCTCCATGGCTGTCTAGTTTGGTATTATAGAAGGAGTATGAGATTTGGATCCAGAGGACATGGGTTTAAATCCTGACCCTTCTTACATATTACCTTTGTGAGCTTGGGCAAATCCCTTACCTCTCTGGGCCTCAATTCCTTATCTGTAAAATGTGGGGGAGTTGAATTATATTATTTAAAGGATCAGTTCCAGTTCATAAGATTTCCTCAGTGAGTTTGGTTGGTTTTTTTCCCCCAATACCCTGGGTTGTAATTCATCTAGTCTTAGTGATTTGAATTCATTAGGCAACTGGATGTGTAGTTATCATACCCTTACTTATTTCGTTTCACTTTTCTTTAACCAGTTTTGTGTTGTTGTGGTTTTTTTCCCACCAGAGATCTCATGCTTCTTGATAGAAATGAAATAGCAGCAAAATAAGAGTGGAGTTGTTTCCTCTGCTCTTTCTTTGTTATTCCAACCTGTGTGTGCCCAGCATAGCCAGACACAGATGTCCTGTTCATCTCATGAACATTGATTGACAACTTTAGTTTTTCTTCAACTTCAGCATTCCTAATACAGTTCTTAAAAGATGGTGCCCCCCTTTTGTATTCATCCTAAGTCACCTGGCTTTGGTTTCATCTTCATTTGTTACATTTGATCCAAGAGTTTTCTAATATGCTTTTTTTTTGTTCTTTTATAAAACTTTTAAATTTTTATGTAAGCAAATTAAAAAAATAATAGATTTAGAGCTATGAGGGACTTTAGAAGTTTCCTAGTCCAGCCTCCTTATTTTACAGATGAGATGACTGAAGCTTAAGGATATTAAGTGACTTGGCTAAAGTTACACAGGAACTAAGTGGAAGAAAAAGCATTTGAATCCAGGTCCTGTGACTGCACATTCTTTCCACTATAGTAATTTCTTCTGTTTGTTTAATAAATAATTTTATCTTCCCGTTATGATTAAGAGAAGTGTTTATTCCAAATTCTTCTTAAGGTTTTTTTTTGGGGGGGGAACACCTGTTTAAAAGTATAGGTGATCCTTAAAGGAGATACAATCCTGAAGTCTTTCTGTAGTACTATTAATTTTCCTTCTGTGTCGGCTTTTCATAAAAGTATCCAGAAGCTGAGAGAGGCACTTATTTTAGGAATTTAGTCCTCTTTTCAGATTAATCAAATGATAAATTCCTACATATGCATAGATTAGTACTGTTGATCACATAGAAACTAACATTAAACTGAGAGTTGTTTTCGTAAATACAGAGGAACTCTTTGAAAAGCAATTCTTTTAAAATGTTAGAGTTTGTACTTTAAAATTGCTTATTGGAATTGGGAAAAGAAAGGAAGAAGAGAAAGTGATTATTGAAGTAGAAAGAAGGCATTCAATTAGCAGTCAGTATTTATTGAGTATCCACTATGTATAGAACAGTTTGAGTTAGGGTTAGGAAATAGACTATCTATAGAAGCTAGTGTGCTGTGGAAATGTGTACACAGACTCCTCATTTTTGTTGCCACCAGAAGTTTTTAAGTTCAGTCACCCCATGGTTCCCTGTTTCTTTTCACCATTTACTTCTATTACATATTTCCTGTTAAAATTTTTTAAGAAATTTGTGCATTTGATGTCTAAACAAGAAATCATTACCATGCAACCAAAATTTCTGTCAATTTCATTTATTATTAGTACAGCTGCCTTCCTACATATTGTTATTAGTAAATACACATGCTTATAAATATTATCAGAAATAGCTTAGCATGATATACTGAAACAAGTTCTGAGGCTTTCCAAATTGGCATAATATGATAACATTTGCTGTAATTTTGCATTTCTTAAAGTAGTAGAATCCCACCTTTGGAGGGATTTCAAAAATTAATCTTTAGGTTTTCCATAATACAGGGTCAGTTTTAAGAAGGCTCTGAAGGTATTACAGTATGAGAAAATACTGTTCAATGGATATATTTGTGTAGGAATTGTGCTTAATAGGAATTAAAATGTATTTTATTTTGTAATTTTTACCATTACTTATTCAATAATTTCTTTTTTTCAGAGGATGGATCTTGGAGAATGTCTGAAGGTCCATGACCTGGCTTTAAGAGCAGATTATGAAATCGCATCCAAAGAACAAGACTTCTTCTTTGAGCTTGATGTATGTAATTTGCTTTTTTATATTGACTCTTTTCTTTTGGAATGTATTTATGTATTTTGCATTTAGGTCAGTGTTTTATCTAAATAGAAAATAACTAGTATCAAGTTATGCAGACTTTAGTTTTGTAATTTGTTAGATTAAATAAAGCAAGTGTTAACTTTTTTTCTTTCGTGGACCCTTTTGACAGTCTGGTGAAGGGTATGGACCTCTTCTGAAAATCTTTTTTGAATTCATAAAATCAAGTATAGGATTTCCCAGGAAATTATTTACATTGCAATAAAGTTATCCCATCTAAGTTCATGTATCCTCCCCCCTCGTCTATCCATATAGATCCTAAATTACAAACCCCTGGCTTAAAGAAAGTCCTTATACCTTCCTCTGGACTGATTCCATGGCTATGTTTAGGACATTTTAAATTGTGCAATTCATACATTCTTACAAAATTCCTGTGGGTTATCTCTTACTAAGCAGATGTTAATTGACTGAAGAGCCTGTAGTTTAAATATTAAATTATTAGCAGCTAAGGAAGAAAGTATAAACATAACTAATAATTCCAGTTAACCCAAATTCAACTTTAACATTTGTATAGATATATACATGTAGGCGTGCATATTTATGTTATTATAAAAACAGTGTTCTATTTTATATAAAAGCTAATGGAAGTGACAAATACCTTCCAACTGTGAGATTTTGAAGGCAGTATTTCTAAGGATTAGCACTTGAGTTTATAATAATTATTCAAAACTTTTATGTAGCAAATTGGAAATCATGATCTAGCATATTATAATTTTCCTGTTTGTAGAATTAAAAACAAGCAAAAATGCATCAACCTGTATGAGCTTCATTATGCTTGGCGTCATTGCAATGGTAGCTTTTTATTTGGTTTCAGGGTGAGGGGATTTACTTAATTTTTTTCTTTTCTGGAGGTCTAAGAATTTTCTCAGTTTGAAATTCTGATTTATAAAAAACCTGTACATTTTTGATGCCAGGGAGAAGAAAGGAAAAAGAAGAGTATATTATAACTTTTAGAATTTAGCCATAAGAGATTTCAAATATAATCAGTCCCAGTTTATGCACATTTCACTTTATTTAAGCAACTTTCATGTTAAATGGCTTCCTAGATAAATATTCATAGAATTTCCTTTTCTTCCCTTACCCCTTCCATAATGCAATCCTTGCTACCTGACTTCTTCACTCCCCACTCTTTACTCCTGATAATTTAGAAATGAACAGTAGCACAACTATTTTATAAATTGGAGGTACTTGTTCTTGTGTTATATATTACAGTAGTTAATTGGTCCTTAGATAGTATCTTGAGATGCCACTACTTAAAGATGACCTGATTTATTTACTTAATTTTTATACTAGGGAATCATTTTATTAGTCCATCCTCTTGGTGGTGTGGTATGCTTTATATACTTACTGAATCAGTAGTATAAAGAGCAGCATTATAATAAATTTATATGGTATGATTAAAAGTTTCAAACTGAAAATGTCAAATGGCTCATTCTTTCTAACTGCAAGAGAAAAAACCTTCAACTGAGTTTGTTCATGCTTAATTTAAGTACATGCTTCAGATTAAATGCTTGTATTTCAGATTAATTATATTTTGGCACATTGTAAGTAGGAAAATCCAGTTGTTAAATGTAGACTAGCATCTCATTTTTTTATTTACTTTTATTATTAGCAATGTAGAATTAATTTAGTAGCAGTATATCTGATACCATTCTGTTAAAATAAATATTGTTATCTTTTTTTAGTGATTACTATAATATTTTGAATGTGCTTAGATAATTTGACTTCTTGATTAATTCTTATTTTTTGGGTAGTTTGGTTTAAACTTCGATTTTTTTTTTTGCTTGCTTAAAGCATGATTGAAGTGTTCTTTCTGGTGGAAAATATTTGTTCTCCCTTGGAATAATTGCATTTTTGTTTCTGTTTCAGGCAATGGATCATCTGCAATCATTCATTGCAGACTGTGACCGGAGAACAGAAATGGCCAAGAAAAGATTAGCAGAAACTCAGGAAGAGATTAGTGCCGAAGTGGCAGCTAAAGTAAGAATTTCAAAAGTTTTAAATTTGTAGCAAATAAATTTAGTTTTTTGTCTTTGACTATGACTGTATGTTCAAATCTATTGAACAAATCCATTGAATACCATCACGAGATAGAGGGTTACTTTGATTAAAGAGTCCCAAGTTTTAAGAGGTGTCCTGAACGCCAGTTAGAAGCTCAAGTTGTTAGGTAATATTATTTTAACATTATTTAATAATGTTAACATTATTTTAGAAAGGAAAGGTCTTTTTAGGTTGGAGAGAATGTTTTGAATGCATGAATAAATGAAAAAGTACTGTTAAGGGCTAGGGATACAAATACTGAAGCAAGATTGTCTTTGCTTTCAGGGAGATCACATCCTAATAGGAGGAAGCAACAAATATAGAATGTTTTGGCTATCACTTAGGTGGAAAGGTCCATTGGTCTTTCTTAGGATACAACAGTAAAACAGATAGTAATACATCTTCTTAAGGGTAATTTTTATTCATAAAACTTTATTTGTATCTGATATTGAACCATTTGATAGTGGCAAGTAAACTTTAGTGGTGAAAATTTTGTTTACCAAGTCTTTGGGAGCTTCTCTGAATAAATCTCTGTGATGTATTATAGTATAGACCCGAGAGTATCATTCTGCTTTCATAATGTCTATACTAGTTGATTTCTGAGATGAATCATGATCCTATGTTCTTCCTGAAGAGTCTTTTTTGTTTCTAATCTGTCTTTTACCCCCATTAATCTTCTCAGGTTGCCTTAGACAGGGACTTTACCACATTGCTCTATAGATAAAGTAGAGGAATATGGAAATCCTAAAAGAATGTTAATCATTTTTTCAGGTAATAAGAAAATTCTAACAGAATTGGCAAAATTTGGGGGAAAGGATGTCTTGATGAGATGAAATTTCCTGAAGTAGAAGTTTAGAGAGTAAATAGTTGACATTTACATAGAACTCTAAAGTTTTCAAAGTACTTTACATGTATTATATAATTTTATTTTCACAACAGTCTTGTGAGGTAAGTGTTGTTATCCCCATTTCAGACAGGAAAACTGAGGCAGTTTTCTGACTTGCAAGAGAGAAGGTGAGGTGTGTGAGGGGTTTAGTGAAGAATCATAAATTACCTTGGCATTTGAATCTCAGTGACTAGAAGCATAGTGGTATGCACAACTGAAGAGTTATAACCCCCATCTTGAGTCCCCAGGGTTGCTGCTAATGGGAATAGGTTTTTTTCCTCTAAAGTTGTCCCAAGACTGGATAATTCCAATAGGAACTCAAAAGATTTAGCTAAAATTAATGTCACTAAGACCAAAAAATAAAAAGAGGAAGAGGAAGAAATCAGAAAAACTGATCAATACATCAAAAAAGTCTAAAAATATGTGCAACACTTGTAGATTTCTCCACATCTCTAATCTCTGCAGAAGGGTGGAGAGAGAATGAGATAGTTTTAACTGGAATATTCCACAACTGGTGGTATAAATCTTAGTCCATGTGTTAAGTGTAATCTTAATTTAAAATTTCATGGGAATCTGAACACAGTAATACATTTTCCATTTCTTTTATTTTTATTTATTTATTTATTTTTTGTTTTTTAATTTATTTTTGGGCAATTGGGGTTAAGTGACTTGCCCAGAGTCACACAGCTGGTGAGTGTCAGGTGTTTGGTCTGAGGCTGGATTTGAACTCAGGTTGTCCTGACTTCAGGGCCAGTACTCCATCCACTGCGCCACCTAGCTGCCCCTTATGTTTTTATTTTTGAGAAAAGGTATTCATTTGAAAGTATTTCCACACTGAGAATAGGAGGAATGGGTTTATAATCCTTACCTCGGTGGTTACTGTGTAACTGCTTCTCAATTAGCAAGTAGGCAGCCTTCTCTACCCACCCTTCCTTGAAACACATAGGAACAATTAAGCAAAACAAATCAATATATTTACCATTTCTGGAAGTAACTGTATATGGGCATGACTTAGACATATTGCAGGTTTGGTTCCAGACCACCACAGTAAAGTGAATATCACAATAAGGTGAATCACATGAATTATTTGTTTTCCCAGTTCAGAGAGGCATAATCTTTTTGCTGGTGGAGGGTCTTGCCTCAATATCGGTGGGGTGCTGACTAATCAGGGTGGTGGTTGCTGAAGGTTGGGAAGTGGCAATGGCAATTTCTTAAAATAAGACAGGAACGAAGTTTGCCACATTGATTCTTCTTTTCACTTGAACACTTAGCAATTATTGTAAGGTTATTAATTGGCCTAATGTCAATATTATTGTGTCTTGGGGAATAGGGAAGCCTGAGGAGAGAGGATTGGGAAACGGCCAGGTTGGTAGAACAGTCAGGACACACAACATTTATTGATTAAGTTCACCACAATAATAATAATGATGATGATGATGAAAAAATTTGAAATATAGTGAGAATTACCAAAATGTGACACAGAGATGATGTGAATATGTTGTTGAAAAAATGGTGCCCATAAACTTGGTAGACCAGGGTTTCCTCAGACCTTCAATTTATAAAAAATGCAATTTCTGCAAAGCACAGTAAAACCAGGTATGCTTGTATAAGTTTAGACAGCTTAAATAATGTTACAGATTTCTCAAGAATAGGCTTGAAATTTGTAACTTTTACTTTTACTTGTGAATAGTTTTATTCATTATCTTCTCTTCTCTGTTTCTTGCTAGGCAGAACGTGTCCATGAATTGAATGAGGAAATTGGTAAACTACTTGCCAAAGTGGAACAACTAGGAGCTGAAGGTAATGTGGAGGAGTCCCAGAAAGTAATGGATGAAGTGGAGAAAGCCCGAGCAAAGAAAAGAGAGGCAGAGGTAACTTAAAACATTATTTGAAGATGGTGGGTTAGTTTTTCAATCTAAGTATTTTTTGAAGTGGTTATATTAATATTTACATTTCCTGTTGAATGCCTAATATGTGTCTATAAATACTGACTCAGACATTCTTCCTTTAACTCTTAAAAGAGTTGTTTGACAGTTTTTCTTTCAAGCTAATATAACTTAGGGAATGATCGTTATTTTTAGCCAATTACAATTTTAAAAAATAATTTTGTATTGATACATTTGTTTTGATACAACAGATGTTTCCTATCAACCACCGAAACAGCAATGCTGTCTCCTCTACAAAGTACGTTTACCCCATGCAATGTCATTTTATACTTTTATGGTTTACTGATTGTTAACAGAAGGGAAGAATATGTACTCAAATTTTGATAGTATGGTATCAGCATTGTCGTGTTGAGTTTTATTACCTTGTAATATGTATGATTTATATTGTAGTCATTGTATTATTTGTTCTTTTGGATCTGCTTTCATTTCTTATGGCCTCAGGAACATACCATTACATTGATGTATAACACAATTTGTTGATCTGGAATTAGAAGAAAATGTATGGAATGAGGAAAAAAATCTTTGCATAAAAATCCTTGATAAAAGGCTGACATCCAAAATCTAATGGGAATTGACATAGCTCTATAAGAGTAAGAACTTTTATCCAATAGGCAAATAGGCAAAAGACATGAAATATGTTTAAAAAAGAAATGCAAAGCGTCAACACCTTTTTGAAAAATTGTTCAAAATCACAATAGTCATAAAGATGGTAAACAGTTCTGATGTATTGCAGTACATTTATCAAATTAGTAGGATGTTAAGGAAACAGTTTCATATCTTGAGAGTCATGGGAAGATAGGCACTTTACTTTCCTGTGGTAGAGTTGTGAACCATTCTGGAACACAGTTTGGAGTTACATAAAAATCTACTGTGTTTTTCATACCCTTTGTCTCTGGTATTCCACTATTGGGATTATATTCCTAAGAAGTTCATTAATATCAAACAATCCATGTGGACAAAAGTATTTAGAACATTATTGAGATTAGAAACCTGGAAACAAAATATAGCTCCAGGCACTTAGAAATGACTGAATAGTTTCTGACTTATAAATAGATTAAATTCCTTTTTAATACATAAATAAAACTGCTCATCCATTTTCTCATAGCAGCAATGTTTAAATGATGAATTTGAATAAAAATATTAATACAGTCAACCCATCATTACTGCAACCTTCCCCCCCCCTTTTTTTTTTGCTAGGCAGTGGAGGTAAGTGACTTACCTAGAGCTACACAGCTAATAAGTGTTATATGTCTGAGGTAGGATTTGAACTCATGTCCTCCTCACTTTAGGGCCGGTGTTCTATCCACTGCACCACCTAGCAGTCCCTTCAGCTCTCTTTTCCGTCAACATACTGCCAAAGATTTCCCTGTTCTGGTTCTGCTGCTGCTTCTTCCCTTTACCCTTATATGCTTAAAACTCTTCTGTTCCCTTACCCTGTGCACATTGTTGTTGGCTAGTGGGTCTGGGATGTTGTGCATAAGTAGTTGTGCAATAATGAGGAGAAAGTTAAAGAAAGTTCTTGTTAGTTGCCTGTTTGGGGCTCTATTCATGTGTAAGGAGTTATATGTCAGGAATTATTGCACTAATTTATTTCAGTAAACACCCTTATTTCCATCGGGAGGGAATGAACTCAGAATTTCAAATAGCTAATTTTCTTTTTTCTTCTTTTAATATAAATTTATTTATTTTTAGTTTTCAATATTCACTTCCACAAGTTTTTGAGTTCCAAATTTCTCACCCCTTCCCCCACCCCAAGATGGCATGCATTCTGAATACCCCTTCCCCTGGTCTGCCTTCTCTTCTGTCTCTCCCCCCCTCCCTTCTCTTATCCCCTTCCCCTTCTGTTTTCCTGTAGAGCAGGATAGACTTCTGTACCCCATTTCCTATATTTCTTATTTCCCAGTTGCATGTGAAAACATTTTTTAATAAAACATGTGTTTTTAAAACTTTGAGTTCCAAATTTTCTCCCTTTCTCCCTCCCCACCCACCCTCATTGAAAAGGCAAGAGACTTGATATAGGTTGTACATGTGCAGTTATGCAAAACACTTCCTTAGTAGACATGTTGTGAAAAACTAACTCTATTTCCCTTAATCCTATCCTGCCCTCCCATTTATTCTATTCTTTCTTTTGACCCTGTCCCTCCTCAGAAGTATTTGCTTCTGATTACCCTCTTTCCCAATCTGCCCTCCTCTCTATCACCCCCCTGCTCTCTTGTCCCCTTCTCCCCCTATTTTCCTGTAGGGTAAGACAGATTTCCATACCCAATTGAATGTGTATGTTATTCTCTCCTTAAGCCAAATCCTATGAGAATAAGATTCCCTCATTCCCTCTCACCTTCCCCCTTTTCCCCTCCACTGTGAGAGACTTTTCTTTTCTGTTTTTTTTTTGTGTGAGATAATTTACCCCATTCTACCTCTCCCTTTCTTCTCTGAGTATCATCCTCTCTCATCCCTTAATTTTATTCTCCAGATATGACCCCTTAATCTTCAACTCATCCTGTGCCCTCTATCTATCTATATATACATACATACATACAATTTTTTTCCTTCAACCACCCTAATACTGACAAAGTTCTCATGAGTTACAAATATCATCTTTCCATGCAGGAACGTAAACAGTTCAATCTTAATAAGTCTCTTATGATTTCTCTTTCCTGTTTACCTCTTCATGTTCCACTGGAGTCCTGTATTTGAAAGTCAAATTTTCTGTTTAGCTCTGGTCTTTTCATCAGGAATGCTTGAAAGTCCTCTATTTCACTGAATGACCATTTTTTCCCCTGAAGGATTATACTCAGTTTTGCTGGGTAGGTGATTCTTGGTTGTAATCCTATCTCCTTTGCCCTCTGGAATATTATATCCATGCCCTGCAGTCCTTTAATGTAGAAGCTGCTAAATCTTGGGTTATCCTGATTGTGTTTCCACAGTACTTGAATTGTTTCCTTCTGGCAGCTTGTAATATTTTCTCCTTGACCTGGGAACTCTGGAATTTGGCTACAATATTCCTAGGAGTTTTCCTTTGGGGATCTCTTTCAGGAGGAGATCTGTGGATTCTTTCAATTTCTATTTTGCCCTCTGGTTCTACTATATCAGGGCAGTTTTCCTTGATAATTTCTTGAAAGATGATGTCTAGGCTCTTTTTTTGATCATGGCTTTCAGATAGTCCAATAATTTTTAAATTCTCTCTCCTGGATCTATTTTCCAGGTCAGTTGTTTTTCCAATGAGATATTTCACATTGTTTTCTAATTTTTCATTCTTTTGGATTTGTTTTACAGTGTCTTGATTTCTCATAAAGTCACTGTCTTCCAATTGCTCTATTCTAATTTTTAAGGAAGTATTTTCTTCAGTAATCTTTTGGACTTCCTTTTCCATTTGGCCAATTTTTTTTTTAGGGCATTTTTTCCTCATTGGCTTTTTGGACCTCTTTTGCCATTTGGGTTAGGCTGTTTTTTAAGGTGTTATTTTCTTCAGTATTTTTTTGGGTCTCCTTTAGCAAGCTGTTGACTTGTTTTTCATGATTTTCTTGCATCACTCTCATTTCTCTTCCCAGTTTTTCCTCTACTTCCCTTACTTGCTTCTCAAAATCCTTTTGAGCTCTTCCAAGGCCTGGGACTGATTCATATTTTTCTTGGAGGCTTTGGATGTAGGAGCTTTGATTTGTTGTCTTCTTCTGGTTGTATATTTTGATCTTCTTTTCACCAAAGTAAGATAATATAGTCTGACTCTTTTTGCGCTGCTTGCTCATGATCCCAGCCAATTACTTGAGTTTTAAACTCTTTGTTAAGGTAAGAGTCTGCTTCCAATGTGGAGAGTGTACTGTCCCAAGCTTCAGGGGTTTGTGTAGCTGTTTTCAGAGATACTTGTAGGGCCCTGTAAATTTTCAGTTCTTCCAAGGTGGTATGATAAGGGGCAAGGTGTTTACTCCTTTCCTGGCCTGTGAGCACAAGTATTCCTTTCTGTCCCGTAACTGTGAGGAGGGGTTCCTCTCCACAGGCACTCCAAGCTCCACCACGCCAGCGCTCCTCCTCACCCCAGCACTGCCGCCCAGAACTGTGACCCAGATCCACACACAGGCAAAGCAAGAGATTCCTGCCTCAGCACTGGCAAAGAGATCCCTGCAGTCCCTCTCTGATCAGCCACTGGATTCTCCCTCAGTCTGTGGGCCGGAAGCTTGGGAAGCAGCTGCCCCCCCCCCGGGCCACGCTCTTGGGGAATGGAGCTGAAACCCCGCCTTCCTCTCTGACCACCGACAGAAACAGACTTTTCCCACTGACCTTCTAAGTTGTCTTTGGCATTCGTAGATTGAGGAGTCTGGAAACCTCCACAGCTGCCCAAGATTCAGTCCTCTGAGGCCTGCTCCAGGTTTGCTGCAGCCTGGGCGCCCACGCAGCGCTGCGCTCCCAGCCTGGCAGGATCAATCATCCAGGTTGTCTTGGGCTGGAAATTTGTTTCACTCTGTCTTTTTGTGGGTTCTGCTGCTTCAGAATTTGTTTAGAGCCATTTTTTATGAGTATTTGGAGGGGTTATGGGGAGAGCTCAAGGAAGTCACTGCTTTCACTCCGCCATCTTGGCTCCGCCCCCCTCAAATAGCTAATTTTCAAAGGAACTGTAGAAATACAATGTATCTTCAAGCAACTATACCAAATACACTATTTAGTTGTTAGCAACGAGGAATACGTATATCTACCGTTGCTCAGACCTTCTCTTAAGTTCCCTTCCTTCATCCCTTTCCCTGCCCCTCATTATTCCCTACTCTTCTTAGCTAATATAAGTGCCCTTTAACTCAGGGAGTCCTTGCTTTTCTTACCAGGACTTCCACAAAGGGGACTCCTTTGCTGGCTACTTCCTTTGGAACTCTTTAGCGTATTTTTTTGGTGACGATGTTACATCTTGTAGTTAGGCTCTATGACATTTCAGGCTGTTATTT